ACAAGATCGTGTTACATCGTGATCGATGTTAGAGATAACTATTAGTCAGTGAATGGGAAGAAACACTGACCATACATCAAATTAATTTTTTTATTTAGAATATTTCTAGAGGACTTATAGTGGAAAATGTCAAAATATATATATTAACAGCGACACAGACAGGAAGATTGGCATGCCATGTTTAAAGCCTTGCTCCTGATAGAGCCGTACTGTATTAAAAACAAATCTGGATCCTGAGCATGTTCACTACAATTATCATTATCCAGCCTCCGTAACATCTGACCTTCCCTAAAGGGAAATATTTTTCTTTTGTTAATGTCCTGTGTTGCACTGCATTTCCCATTGTCATTGGCAGCATATTGATTTAATATCAGGTTAGAGGATTAGCCATAGCAAATACAAGTTGGACATACTGTATTTTGTATAATCTTTTACAGATGATCCACTGGGAGAATTAATAGAATTTCATGCAACTCTGAAATTGCTATTCCTGTTCCAGAGGGCACTGATGATTTTTAGATGCTGTACTTTTTAGTTGATTTTCTCAACCCTTCTTCATCGAATACTGAAGAGATACTGAATGTTTCCAGTATTTTTGCATTAGAGATGTCATTGGCAGCAACAGCACTTTTGCATATGCATCAGTTTGGCTCTAGTGCAGATTTTTTTTTTACATTGGACGCCTACTGATGTGCACTGATTTAACTTCTGAAAATGAAACTTAATTTTGTGTAGCTTATAAGTAGTCCCTAGTGTGTCTTGGCTCCAAAAAGCTAATATTTTTCAGACATAATCAGCAGCAATAGGTAATGTATTACCATTAGCTACGTTAGCAGAGGGTTTAAAAAAATGAAAGGTTGAAGGAGGAAGTATGGTGCAGAAATTCAATAGAAAATGTGATATGCTTTTAGCAGCTTCATACTATGCAGCGATTTTACACATTTAAAATTACACATCTGTGTTACACTAGATTTATTCTCCATGTTCATTCATGGATATTTAAAAAAAACAAAAATATTTGTTAGCCAAGGACAATAATAGTTTAACAGTAATTTATTTTAAACTGCTACTGATAATACAACCAATCAACACATTAAGTGGTGCCAACATTGGCATCTTGCTAAATGATCTCTAGACTTTGCACTAAGAGTGCATCTTTCAAAGATAAGTCAACGAGCAATCAGAGCAGAAAATTAGAATTTGGTATCTTAGCATTAAAATACAGCTAAACTAAAGTTTTAATTGGGGTGATCTAAAAGGGCACTTGACGTAATGATCTCTTTCATTTGTTACTAATTGTTTATTCCTGATGAAGAAGAAACATGTACATGAATGTAGTTGAACTGAGTAAAGATGGCAGTTGTTTTAGCAGTTTGGTTTTATGGTTAAATAAGATGGATAGCAAGAATTTGGGAAAGGTATTTGAATCTTTGAAATTATTTGACAATATGCTTTTAATCTACAAGTACTCTTCGTATAATTTCTCTTTATCTGCTTTTTTTATTCGTGATTTGGATGTATTATGCGTCCTAGTAAGATGAATTGGAGGAGATTAAAATATTCTAGACTTCCAACATAAACTAGAGGCAGGTATTGATACAATAATTCCTATCTGAATCACCCTCAGCAGTTTTGCTGATGACATCAAGCTGTGGGGTGTGGTCAATGCACCAGAGCGATGGGATGCCATCCAGAGGGACCTAAACAGGCTTGAGCAGTGGGCCCAGGTGAACCTCATGAGTTTCAACAAATCCAAACACAAGGTCTTGCACCTGTGTCGTGGCAAGCCCCATTACCAATACAAGCTAGGGAATGAAAGGATTGATCACAGCCCAGCTGTAAAAGACCTGGGTGTACTGGTAAATGGGAACCTGGACATGAACCAGCAATGTGCCCTCACAGCCCGGAAAGCCAACATAGCCTGAGCTGCATCAAAAGAAATATGGCCAGCAGGTTGAGGGACGTGATCTTGCCCCTCTACTCTGTTCTGGTGAGGCCTCACCTGGAGTACTGCATTGAGATGTGGAGTTCTCAGTACAGGAGAGAGAGAGACATTGTAATGTGCACTTGCAGCCCAGAAGGCCAACTGTGTTCTGGACTGCATTAAAAAAGGAGTGGCCAGCAGGGAGAGGGAGGTGATTGTCCCCCTCTACTCAGCTTTTGTGAGGCTCCAACTGGAGTACTGCATCCAGGCCTGGGGCCCCCAGTACATGAAGGACATGGAGCTCATGGAATGGGTCCAGAGGATGGCTGCTAAGATGATCAGAGGGCTGGAGCATCTCTCCTATGAGGAAAGGTTGAGGGAACTAGACTTGTTCAGCTTGGAGAAGAGACAGCTCCGGGGAGACCTCATTGTGGCCATCTAATACTTGAAGGGAGCTTCTAAGAAGGGGAGCTTAGGAAGGGGAATGGCTGTTTACAAAGGTGGACAGTGATAGGACATGGGGGAATGGTCTTAAACTGAGTAAGAAGAGGTTTAGGTTAGATACTGGGAAGAAGTTTTTCACTCAGAGGTCGGTGACGCACTGGAACAGGTTGCCCTAAGAGGTAGTGGATGCCCCATCCCTGAAGGCATGGGGGTGGTGACCCTGCACATGGCAGGGGGGTTGAAACTGGGTGATCATTGTGGTCCTTTTCATCCCACCCCATTCTGTGATGATTCTATGATGATAGACCTGTTATATTGTGTCCAGTGAAGGGCCACAGAAATGATCCAAGGAATGGAACGCCTCTCCTGTGTTGGATAGGCTGAGAGAGCTGAGGCTGTTCAGCCTGGAGAAGAGAACGCTCCAAGGTGACGTGATAGCGGCTTGTCAGTCTCTAAAGGGGAGCTACAGAAAAAGAAGGGAACAGACTTTAGCAGAGTCTGCGGTAATAGAACAAGTGGCAATGGCTTCAAGCTTAAAGAGAGTAGATTTAAGTTGGATATAAAGAAGAAGTCTTTTACAGTGAGGGTGATGAGGCACTGGAATGGGTTGCCCAGATATGTGGTTGATGCCCCATCCCTGGAGACATTCAAGGCAAGACTGGATAATGCCCTCGGCAACCTGATCTACCTGTGATGTCCTTGTTCACTTCAGGGGAATTGGAATAGATGGCCTTTAAAGGTCCCTTCCAACTCTTAGGATTCATAGAGGAGGATTTCAAGTGAATGATAATATTAAAAAATCTATTTTACTTTGCATTTGCCTTTGGAGCTTTGTATTTAGCTTTATATGATTTTCTTTAGAAGTCATCTAAGTTTAACGGTCAACACAAAATATCTTTGTGTTTTAGATGTTCTTTCAAAGAAAATTCTAAAATTGTAATCATATTTATAAGCACTTTTTTTGAGTTACTGTTGTTTGATATTTTCAAATGTGGTCTTATTCTTTTTAGTGTGCATTATTAAAGTGACTATGTGGTCCTTGCAGTTGGAAAGTTTTGAGTTCTTTGAGCTGCTGTGGACTTTAATACACTGAAGTATAGTAAAAATGCACAGAATTAAATTCTCAGTGTAACAACACTTGTGGCAACAGTTTAGTTAAGCGTGAGAATAATGAAAATAATGAACTCTGAAGAACAGACTTAAAAGAAGAGGTGGAAGGACACAAATTTCAATGGTAGGCATTGACATTAGGAAGGCTAGTAAGAGTAAGGTGCATACTAACACTCAAGAAAGTGCTTTTTTTCATTTTCAATTATCATAATGCGGGCCTGTTCTTTTGAGAGATATTTAAAAAAAAATAATGAAAAAAACTTGAAACTCAGAATTTAATTAAGGAAATGTGCTTAAGTGGTGAGAAAACTTATGAGTTGGCGAACATAATTTTGTATCTGTAGTATGTACCTCTGAAACTGGGCCTTGATTATAAACTTTTGATCTTTTAACTTTCCTAAAATAACTACCAGCAACTTCTTCAGTCTGTCTTGTTGGCATTGTTTTGCTTCATATCAGCAAATCCATCTTGGGTCAAAATAGATCTATGGTTCTCAGGAGACTTCTCTAGGATATGGAAGAGTTAGGTTCATATTCATGCAGGTTCATATATGCCTAGCTATGCTTAATTATCTGCTATATTATCATAGCTTCAAGTGAAAGAGATAAAAGTGTAGAGCCAAGAGCCTGATGGCCAGAATTCTGGAATATGAAACTATTTTCTCTTTCTGTGTTTCTTTCTTTCAACCCTGTTTCCCCTCCTCTTTTTGTACTTTATACCACTGACCTAATTATTTAGCTATTAGTTATGCCAAGATCTGTCTGTTTCCTTGCAAAAAGAAGTAACTGTAGAATTAAAATTCTCAAGAAAAAAAAGAAAGTAGGCTGAGTTTTTTCCTGATGCAGTAACCACAAAAATATAGAATTTTTTTTCCAAACATACCCAGTCAATAAATAAAGAGACCATTGTGTTTTGCTGTCTGAGATAGCAATTGCACAAAATCAGTACTGTACTTCTTAAGGCAGAAAGATCTTCCTGCTTTGTGAGTGTCCTCTGCTTAACATCTCAACAACTTAATCTTCCTCAGAAACAATATGGAATGTAGTAATAATGAACAACAATAAGGAGTTGTACTGGAGCCTGGATTTGCCATTCTTCAGTTGATAAATAATGATACTGACAATTCACTGTCAATAGGACAGCTTTTTTTGTTGTCACTGGCAAGTGGCTTGTATAGGCTTGTTGTATTTTATCTTCTATGAAGAATAAACCTATCTCTATAAGTTTTTCATATTAGTTTTACACGTATTTGAAGATCAGCTTGCATCTTCTGTGAAATCTTGACTCTGTTTTTTTAAAGATTTTTTGCCCATTTGTTAAAATTCACTCCAGTTAGATTTTGCTCTTGATAACTGGGAAACTTCGAAGCAGTAAAAGGATTATTTCATATGTAAAATCTCATATGACTAATCAGAGATAAATAATAGAAGTTATTTATTATGTCATCTGTTGTAATATTCCTCAAACATTACAATATCTAAGTTTGTTGGGTTTTTTTTTTTTGTTGTTTTTTTTGAACAGGGTCTACTAAAGGTTGCCATAGACAATGCCAGAGCTCAAGAGAAACAAGTCCAACTGGAAAAGACAGAGCTGAAGATGGAGCTCTTCAGGGAACGAGAACTGAGGGAAACACTTGAGAAACAGTTGGCTGTGGAGCAGAAAAATAGAGGTATCTTAATACAGCAAACATAAATACCTTGTTATTTTTTTCCTTAGGAAACCTAATTTTGTTTCATGCATTTGTGTTTCATCAAAACTTTTCTCCAATACTCCTGTTATGTACAAGCAGACTGCAATGCAGAAAATTTTGCAGTCTGCCTGATCCTAATTTTGCATAGGATCTGCATGAAATTTAGTACAAACACCTTCCTTTTTTCTGCATTTGTCTTGAATATAACTTATTACAACATACCAGTAATACGCAGTGCAAATGTAAACACAGAAGGTGCAGTTATGGACTTTGGCAGGTTGCAACCATTACGAAAAAGGATAGCTACTTAAAGCAAACACAACTTTATCAAATTTTAGTCTCTTTGAGGTGTTATGAATTCATCTCTGTTCTTATGTGGTAAGAGTCATATACTGCATGTTTAGGCAATCAGTGTGTAATAAAATATGAAGTTAATAGTAATATGTAAGTATTATTGTAAGTAATATTGTATAATGTAAGTAATATTGTATAATGCAGTAGGTCAAACATGTTTATAGAAGGAACAGCTAAGGTTCTCCTTGAAAAAGATCCTAGTGTAAAGCATATAAATGTTAAACATTTCTTAATGATTTCATATATATATATCTATCTATATATATAAAATATAATTAAGAGATAGTATACCATTCTAAAACATTGATGGTAAAGTTAAGGCAGTTCACTATTAACTATTTGCATTCTATACATGTTCCCATTTTGCTTTATAGCTCTTCTTTTCACTATATGTGTGTCTTGCTCTTTGAAAGTGTCTAATTACGTTGCAAGATCCACATCACCTATGGGTCTAGCTTGCTGCTTAACACAAATGGCAGACATGGCGGATATTTTTGCAGGGCTAGAGTTACAATACTTTTCTTGTTCAGCTTAGCTTCCTGTAAATCATCTAAAAAAGGAACCCCAAGAACTCTTGGATTTACAACCAGTATCATTATTAATTTGACTAACATTCTGCGTGTAAGTAAGCAGTGTAATCCTATTTCATGCCTTGACCTTTTAAAAGGCAGGACATTGTTAATTTTCCTTTTTAAACTCAGTAGAAAAACAGTTATCAAAACTGTTTAGTGAATTATAACTTTGTCCACAAATGACCTATTTTGCTCAGTACAATTGGAATAGTTACACTTTTAAAGAAATTTCTAAATGGTTCCTTTCTTCTCATTCTCATCTAACTCTCTCATAATCCTTCAATCATGCATCCTTTTTTTAGAGTTAGGCAATAATACGCACAATGGAAAAGGTATAGGTGGGAACTCATCTGACTTTGAGTTTTGCTGTGTAGAAATTAAACATGTTGTTCAAGCATAAGATATTATGCTTGCAACATATATGTTATGCTTATGCAACATAAATTCCTTTCTTTTCAATAAAGCAATTCCTACATCCTGAGACAAGTAGGTGAGGTCAATTACACTATGAATACCTCCTTCTCTTCCTGTTAGCACTGAAAGGAATATCACTGACTAAGCTGGACTAGCCACATATACTTTCAACAGGTAAAATTAGGCAAAATGCATTTTGCTCTAAGTTGTATTTGAAGAAAGAGCATGTGATAGTCCTTTACTTTGCTTAGGATAGTGAAATAATTGAGAGTATTATTTTCTGCACTATGCATTATCTGCTTCTTTTATATCTGTCTATGATGATATTGTACTGGTAAAAGAGTCAAACCAAAGAGGAATGGATCTGAGCACATAATAGTGTAATGCAGTAAAGTAAATGTAATGAGGATGACTTTCTCCACTAGTGGATGCTTCTGTACAAAATAAAATAAAAATAACATATTATTCTTTACAATAAAGAAAGCCAAGTAGGAGAGAAAAAATAAGACGTTTTAATTACTTTGAGAATTTATTCTTCAATTAAAGAGAGAAATATACATAGGAGGCTTTGCCTTACATCAGTTTTAGTTGACATTAGTTTTCCAATAGCAAATGTCATGTCTGAAAGAAAGTCTCACATCTTAATAGAAGCATGAGCGAGAAGGGAGAAGTGTACCACATCCCTACTAAGAAATATTCTGTAAAAAAAAGACTGAAATACCCTTAAAAAGCTGCAGCACAGAAATATATGCACACTGTCATACACAGGTCAAAGCCTATTAGGTAAATGGAATCTTCAGCATTAGGCAACCAGTATCAATGCCTATCTTGGTAATCATGTTAACATAAGTCAAACATCTTTACAGGCAGGATATCTGAATTCCTTTTTTTTTTTTTTTTTTGCCATTTTAGGGAACATTAAATCCACCGCTGCTACTGTATGTTCTACAGTGCTGCTTATTTATTGTATTGTTTCCTTCCTTCTTTGTAAATATTCCAATTAGTGATTCCTAAGGCTGTAGGATGTGTCTCATCAACCAGTGAAAGTAGGATAATCTCTGTTCTGTGAGCAGCTACACAGTAAGGGCTTGCTAATTCTGGCTCTGGCTGCTGTAGTCACATCTACAATGTGTCAGCCATGATGACATTTTAATTCGGAAAGCAACATATGTTTCATTCTCATTTATTGCGATCACTTTCAAAGTACTTATAATGAAAACATTAAAATGGTGCAATGATTCAAAATGTATTTAGTTTAGCCTTTGTATAGATACTAGCTGTTCTGTGATAGTGTAAGACAATATGCCTGAAAAGTAGTTTTACTATACAAAATGAGGAAGTGCCAGAAATCCAAAATCTTACACATTAATGATGTAGCTGTTCTCACTGCGGGGCTTGTGCTAATATACATTTTGTGTCTAAACAGTTCTGTATGGCAACACAGAAAAAAAAATCTAAGACTACTCAAAAAGCGCTTACTCTTAGCATCTACATTAAATAGAAATAATCGTGATGGATCCCTTTAAAAATTTCATGATTTGCATTCTGTAAAAGTTGCAGCTGTGGCTATTGAAAATTGGGACTGTGAACTGGTGGACATGTATTTTTAACCTCTCCAGCATTTCTTCCTAAACCAGATACAAGTGGTTACTTTGGAGAAGTAATAGTCAAGCCTAGTATCATCTAGTATCTGGTTTTGGTAATGGTACTTCTATAGTTAGTGTAAAAACGACAGATTCTCTAGGAAAGGATTATCCAGGAAGATCTTAAAGTAAATGAGCCTCTTACATGCATGTCTTTAAAAACCCTAAATGTAAAAATGGTTGGAGTTTGGTTGGGTAGATAAGGATGTGCTCTACAACTTCATATGATTTCTTTAGAGGATCAATTCCACTTTTATTGAGTAGGAAAAAAAAAAAAAAAAAAAAAAAAAAGTTAACATTACTTCTTTCCACTGAGGACATAATCTGTGACATGTTCCTTCAGTCAGGGAACATACAAATTTTATTTTAGTTGTAATTGGGAAGGAACTGGCCGGTAACATAAAAAAGAAAATCATGATGGATTTTCTTTAAAACCTATCTTATATGAATCATTTACATCCTGTTCTTGCAACCATTTTCTTTGTAGAATATGAACAAGAAACAGGGAGAACATTTACTAAGTAAGGTTTTTCTTCAGTTTCTGAATTTTTGTTACTTTCCTAATATTTTTCCTTACATTTGAGAAAGCAAAGTAATAATTATTTGGCTTGGGGATCTGGCACTGTCCAGTTGTTTCTAATATAAAGGGTTTGGATTGAGTTCCAAGATTTTCCATCTTACACTTTCACAAATCCTCATCTGTTTATTAAATATATGGCATGGTATAGAGCAGTAGCTCTTTAAATATCTATGTGTGAATCCAGCAAATTTCAGGTAGTTTAAATAGATAGTGTGTAATTACACAATTTATATGAACTGTTACAGTTGTATTGTTTCTTGGAACTCTTAATACATAATTGTGTGGCCAAGTTTCAGATCTGAATTTGAGTACATTGATTTTCTTCTTTCTAGCAATAATTCAGAAAAGGTTAAAGAAGGAAAAGAAGGCAAAGAGGAAATTGCAGGAAGCACTTGAATTTGAGACTAAACGACGGGAGCAAGCAGAACAGACACTGAAACAAGCAGCTTCAACAGATAGTCTCAGGGTCCTAAATGGTAAGAAGTGAGCTTTTGCTTCTGTGTCATTAATTTTCAATTTAAGTGTCTAAAGAATCTTGTTAGTATAAAATTTATAACATGGTGGGAGGGGGAAAAAAAGGAAAATCTCTCTCCTTTGTTCAAATGATGTCCCTCTCTTTTTTATTTTGTTCCTTTATATAGCATGTGCAAATAAATTTACTGGAGAGAATATCCCAACAAGGACTATTTTATATTATTAGTGTCAGAAGTCTTTTTTTTTTTCCTTCTCCTTTTTCTTCCTACCTTTATGCTTGAAAAATCTATTGCTCATTAATCTCCCTAGTCTAAGAAAAAATTGTCCTGGCCTCTAGTCATTGTTCAACATTAAAAAAAAAAAAACTGACAAAGGTTGATTGTATTGTAATTCAGCTTTAGAGTAACAGGTTGTAAAAAGGGCTATAAGAATCAAATGAAATATGTGTCATTCTTACCTTTCTATGCTTCTAGACTCTCTGACCCCAGAGATAGAAGCTGACCGCAGTGGGGGCAGAACAGATGCTGAAAGGACAATACAAGGTAAGAATTTGCAAAAGGCTATAAATCTAGATCTTGGTATATGAGTTTTTCCTCAGCTTTAGACTGCTATTCAAGCATGTAGCCTACCATCTGGGCCACATCAAAACAAGTTCAAACAAGGTCAAGTTCATCTTGCTTGTTTATAGGAGAGAATACATTCAGTGGTGGTAGATTTTCTTTAAATTAATAGGTCATTTCTGTTTATCTTGTGCAATTAAAGAAGAAGAATTAATTTGAAGTGATATAGGCTTGAATCTCAATCATGCTAAATGCAGTTTTTGTGAATATATGTAGTTACATTTAGGATAACTATTTTTAAAGGCTGATTTAAAACCATTTCAGCCTTTCAACTGTACAAATAGTTAATGGGTAACATTCAAGGCAAGATGGGAATTTCGCAGCTAATATTCAGTGTCAGTTACTGAAAGGTGTGTTTCAATAAGCTTTAATGGTGAATAAACTGCTTATTCACTTTCTGGATTTTTCATTTACCACATCCCATTATTTACAGTTTAATAAAGCAAATCTGCTGAGTAAATTTGTACATGAAGTACTAAAGAGAGCCTTATTACTTTCCCTGTGAATCTGACTGTATATATATTGCAAGCACCAAGATATTAGTAAGGAACAAATTTTTAAGATAGCATTTGTGTTATAATATCCTCTCTAGTCAACAATCTAATTCTACCTACATGAATACTAAACAGCAGAAACAGCATTTGTTTTCAATTGTAAATGAACATGCTTTTTTACAAAGGCAAGCCTAAAATGGTTAGCACTAGTAATCACACTCAATTGCCTTTACTTTGCATTTTGAAGTCAATCATCTTAAGAGTATCATTTGACATAATCTGTATGTTATTTAATCACTTTTACTGACTCCTGAAGAACTGTTACTACTGTGCCACAAGGAGGCCTTAACAACAGAAAAAAGATGTCAGTCTGTTTCCACATAGGAAACCCCTAGTTCCTAGTTTAAAGGTATTGAGCATATACAAAAATACAAAAGAGGCAATAACTTCTTCTGTGGGACAAACAAAAAAAAATAGATTTAAATTGCGTGTTCTATCTATAAGGTTAATAGCTCAGAAGTTGAAATATGCCAGTTTGAATGTTGCCTGGGAAGTAGGTACAGGTTGTGACATTGTTTGAGAATCCTGTTTCTCTTCCCACAGACAGTGTGCCTAACTCAAAGCACCATTTGATACATCATTCTAGTAAGAATCCAATCAACATGTCATTTGCTATGAACCATTTGTTTACATTTTGTGTATTTTCTATGGTGCACAGACAAACTTTTCTTTGGAGAAATTTCTTTGGAGGCTATTCTATTGCACTGAAGTAACCGAGTTCCTTGCAAACACTAATTTATTTGTCTTCAGACTATTCCTGCAGGGAAGCAAAGTTTGCAGTATTCCCATTTTAAACCTGGGAATCAGAGTCGCAGGAAGACTGAGGTGTCAAATTGTTTTATGTGTTCACTGTGTTCAAATCACTGTTCCCATTAAATTCAGTTTTCTTTATGAGCTGATATATTCAGAAGATGAGAACACATAATTACAAAGTATTTTGGAAGTGTGTATTCTAAAGGGTTTATCCCAAACTACATAGGAACAGCATTTATGTTTTTAACCAAGTCATTCTCTGCTTATGCTCATTTTGTACTTTTACATTTCCGCAACAAATAAAACCAAGGTCTTAGAGACTACATTCTCAATAATGATGACTTCTCCTTGACTCATCTGTCCAAGATGTTATGAGGAAAAAAATAATAAACCCCACAAAATAATACTGATGGTTGTTTATTTAAAGACTGAACCATGATGGTCATCGTATTGGATCATACTGCAAAGGCAACCTTAGTTCTGACATTTCCTGTCTCTCCTTTCCATCTTAACATAGAATTTAAATAATGTTTGGGTTTTTTTTGGTGATTTTTTTACATTTATTTTTTATTTATTTTTCAATATATTACATTTAATCATCATATCAGATTTTGGAACATCTAGGTCTACCACTGGGAACTGTGTAACATGCAGATTTACAACACAGTTTATAAGTGCAGAAGTTTATTGTATTTGTGTATCTTTTTTTTTTTTTTTTTGTGGAGTGACAGTTTCTGAAATAGTTACTAACAGATGAGTAATGCTAAGTGTTAGGACTCTTTGTATTCAGATCCATTACAGGAAGGAGGATTCCCTTTCCCTTTTCTCTGTGTCCCCAGTAACGTGTATCCTTGTTACTCCTTTACGTCCATGTACCAGTTCCATCTTGTTTCTTTCTCCTTATTCTAATTTCAGCTTTTGTCAGTGGCTGTTCTCACTGTCCTGTCTCAACACTTCTTCTCCCCCCTCCACTAACTTTCCTTTCCCTAGAAACCCATTCTTCCATTGTTCTCTTCTGGACTAAGTTTCATGCCACCCTAATTATTTCTTCTATTGCAAAATCTTTCTCCTGTATGTGACCCTTTTTGTTGCCTTCCTCCTTTGTCCAGTGGTTTTTAGAGTCTGCACTCCATTAACATTCCCTGTTAACAACCTTTTCTGTAACAAGTCTTTCAGTATTTATTCTCAGTTTCTCCTGCCTCCCCAGCAAGCTCTTCCTTAGTATCAGCAAGAGAAGAATTGAGAGAAAAGGAAAGACAATTTCTCTGTTGCTATTTCAATATTTAGCAGAACAGAAATGAGGATAGAGAGTTTCAATGAAGGAACTTCATTCAGCACCAGGAAAAAGCATGCTCACTACAGATGGACTCTTCAGAGAATTTAGTTGCAAAACTGTACAAACTGTACTGTTTCTTCCAGTGGGTGAATTTTTTTTAACTCTCACAGGGATAACAAAGAGTATGTCCTTTCAATTTTTGAAAATTTCAATTATTTCTGTACATTTTATCTAATAATGATATTTACTATAATTCTGTATGTGTAATAGAAGAATTAGTCTGTAGAATATGCAGTATATTCTCTAATAAAGAATGTAATCTTTCATTCATGCTTTCAGGTTCTAGAAAAATATGCTTACTAGGGAAGTATTTATGCCTTTCTTATTCCTCTAAAATATCTGTGTTTATATCTTCCTGTATCAAAGCATATCTGGGGTAATAATAGCTTTATACATAATCATGATACATTTTTTTAAACTTAATGTATTAATCATGCTATGCAATTCTGTAACTAAGCAAGCAAATATAGCTGCAGTGTTCTGTGGGGAAGTAAAATAATTGAAATATCAGGTATAATTTCAGCATTTATGAAAGTATTAGGGAAAGACGATAGTATTTTAAAATAAAGATTTTATCTACTCTTTATTGTAAATAAAGGGATTCTTGTGGATTTGGATCTATATTTAATGTTAATATTATAATGGTCACTTTTGTTTGCAAGGAGTAGGACTAATTTAAGTGTAAAAGGTAATTGTATTTATCAATAAATGGGGTATGTTCTATTTTTCATTCTGTAGCACCTTTCAGTGTGTTCAAATTCACATTTAGTTCACATAAAGCCTTGCAAACGGGAAAGATATTCAGAAAAAGGAGCTTTAAAATGAGTCTGTAGAAAGAAGCAATAACAGATACTATAGTTTTTCTAGGTTTTGTTTTGTTTTGATTTGTTTTTTAAATATTGGATAGCCAAAATCTTGCTGGACTGTCCATAAAATACTGAGAAGTAATGATAATAAATAACTCAAATCTGAGTCTCAAATATATGTAGATATTTTTAACAAATGCAGATACTAAGTTATTACGAATTGGTTTAGACAGTAGTTTTAAATGTTTTCTTTCTTGCTTTTGTTTAAATTTATAATAAAGCAGATTATCCTCTTCTCCATACATATTGTAGGTTCACTAGATGCCTATGCCTAGCTCCCAATCCGGTTTCCCAAGATCCCCTCATCCCACACAAAAAGGTACCATACAAAGATAATGTTTACTTTTATATACTGTTTGTTACCAGACCTCTTACTAAGCACTTAGAAAAATGACATTTACTGCTGCTCTTACTTTCCTTTTTTTTCCCACTGATTCTTTTCTTCCCCATCTGCTTACCTATGATGTATTTGTTTGCCGACGTTATTTTTTTTCTTTTCCTGTATAAATTCCACATTCATTTCTCTGTGTCCTAATGATTTCCCTCCCAAATCCTATACATTTGTAATCTTCGTTCTATTTAATCACAGATCTCTTTATGTATTGTCTAAACTCATCTAAGAAAGTTCTGCTTTACACTTTCATCCTGCTGATGATTTTGTTAGTGTAGTATCTCTTTCACGCTTTCCTTTTCCCAAATTCTTCCATTTTAGTTCTTTCTTCCCAAAACTGTTCTGATAAGAACAGGAAGCTTAACCAGATTCTCTGTCTCAGATTATTGTCTTGCTTATCTTCTTCATTTATTTCCTATTTTCTAGGGAGTTCTTCATCCAATAGCTTTTCTGCTTTCTTTTCCAAATTCTTCATACTCTTATTCCAGCTTTTTCTAAAGCCAGATCCCTCATTCTCTGCTAACAGCCCTTTCTTACCCTGCTCAGTTCCCATGAATTCTCACGCTTATTATTGTCGGCTTTTTTTCTTTTTTTTTTTCCCAAATATCTCAAGAGATTCTTTGCAATTTGTGTATTCTCTGAAGTTCTCCTGTCTATTCCAGTATTTCAGTTTATCCCTTTCTATAAACTCTTCTCTAGTCCTTTCCAAAGTTTCCTTTGTCCATCAATCAAATTTTATACATGAAGTCCTTATACTCTGCAGATATATTTTGTAGCAGATTATTGGCCTTTCTCTTTACTCTCTTCATCCCTTAGCAAAATGAGCTTTTACTAAGTCCTTTCACATAGACTGTTCTTTCTCACCATTATCCTAGTTCTACACCTCTTCTGTAGGCTGATATTAAGAATACAGTTAAGTATAAAGTTAAATGGCTTCAGACTACTTGTTCCTCCTGTGAAAAAGCCATTCAGTTGCCATGCACAGGAAAGTTTCCAGGACCATCTGTTCTCCTCCATTCACAGCTTTTCTCAAACTCTTTATCTCATCAGCAAACAAACAGAGGTACTTACTCCCTCCCAGGTCTGGAGATGGAAATGTTTAGCAGATCCAGTAACAGAGAAAGAGACTACTGCAACTCAGCATACTGACTGCATAGTCCTCTATTGAAATTACTCTTAAGATCAATGAAGGCTACATGTGAAGAGAAAGAAATTATGATTTAATTTTGCATATGCCAGAGACCTAAAGGACACATTTCGCTGCCTAAGTAATAGGAAAATGCTGCCCTGCAGCTGCCCTCAATGTTAATGACAATTGCTTAGATACAACTTCAGTTATTTGTCTGAAAACCTAACCTAAATTGTTTTCTGCATTGGTTTGAAACTTGTTTAATCTATTTTTCTACAAGCAAGATCAGTGTAATAATCTCAGCAAATTATAGTCTTTGATGCTTTCTTGCAATGTTTGAAAGATAGCTATCTGAAGGACTTGACTTCCACACTGAAAAGGAACTTTCACTCATTCCGTAAGCCTTGTGTACATGGGTCTGATGTAAAAATCTTGACAAAAGCATGTCTAAATATGTGATTATATTTCCTATGAGATCAAAAACTTTTATTGGAAAAAGCCATTATCAAGACTGTAAAGTCAAGCATTCCAAAATTAGGAAGTGGTAGAATTAAGGTTGTCTTCCTCATCTTTGTTCTGTCATCTTTGTATATGCATTGTGATATAATCTTTAATTATGTGATTAGATACTGTATTTTGCACAGCACTTCATTCAGTTCAGGGGACGAGGATGGAGTTGAATAAATGGATATCTATCCAATATTTCCTTTATCTCCAGAACTCAGTGTATTCTCATGCTTTTAGTAATACCTGTTTTATATACAATATTTTTGTCACTAGACATCATACTTTACAGAAGAGGTATGGAAGATTATCTTAATTTCTTTAATATGTTAAATCTTAATTTTAAAATTTCCTAACAGTTGTATGTTTTGCTTTAGCTTTGAATAATGTCCTAGTATTACAGGTGATCATTTCTTAGGGTTTATTTCTTTACAGGTAAACTAGAGAGTCAAAAGTTTCATTATGAAAAGATAGCTGATGACCTTTTGGATATAGTAGGACTTGAACCTTTAGTTTCACAGTGATAAACCAAACGAAGCAGCCAGTAAGCGGTAATACATGATTATGAGCAGTCCGCACTGCTCTAAGCAATGAGCATTTCGATGTGAGGGTTTTACAGGCATTTTTTGAGATAAATGAAGATAGCCTTGGATTGCATGTCATCCTTCCTTTCATTATTCTTGCAACACATAGTTCTTTTAAGAGTGTCTCCATCAAGCTCTGGGCTGCATTTGTGTCAGTCCTAATATCCTTGTCCAGATTTCTATTTATATCCAGTCATAATTCCAACTTCCTATCTTAACTTCTTGAACCTAATACTCTTCTTAAGCAAGATCCAGACATCCACAGATATTTGTCTTTATGCCCCATATACACTTGTCAAGACTTCTCCCTCAGAGAGACTTCTTTTCAGATAACTGAACATGACTTTGTTGCACTGCGTTCTGTCACATGTCGTTCTTTCTGTTTTCAACCACTGGTCCTGTTCTTGTCTAGTGAATCCAAATCATGTGGTCCCACAGCTTTGGTCTCAGCTACTGTCAGCCAACCATTTCTTGTTACTAGCTTCCTTTCACAGTGTTTTCTGGTGCCTGATTTCTGTCAATTTGTCCAACCAGTCTCAGTCACCTCCTCTAGTTCTATTTTCTCTCTTTTTACAAGTCCACCTGCACCAGACTTGTTGTTCTAATTTCTCTAGATCTTCAACTTTATGAGTTTGTTTTAAGACTTAAAGAAGATTAATATTGTTTACAAATTACTGATAGGAAACATATTCTGGTGCAAGACTACTTTCAAATTAGCTAATTATTTAAAAAATAGTTTTCAGTATCGTCATCTCTTTCTTTTCTTGGGAGATCAGTTCTCTCTGCAGTGTATTTAAACAGAATGTCTTTTCTTTAGCCTTTTTTTTCATTTATTTTGCTCATGATATCGACTATGATGGCCAATATAAGTCTATTTCTGTTTAGCCATCATCCTCTATATATAAACCTACAATCATTGTAGTTTTAATGAATTAATCCCAAGAAAAGAAAAGTACCCGATTTAGAAATGTAAATAGCTGTATCTATCTATCAACTTGTAAATTCTGCATTTTGGTTTAATTGACATTTGTTCATGAATTGTTCCATTTTTATTGCCGCTTAGTAAGTGCTATGGATTTGTTGTTACTCATTTATTATTGCACAGACTTTCAGCAGAAAGTTGCTTGAGTTTATTAGAGAGCCAGGATTCTCAAGTGGATTTTCAGGTCATTTCAGAATGGAAGTGAATTTTACTTTCCCAAGTGATTTCTACTTCTCTCTGACCCAATTCAACATTTTTTCAGCTCCCTTCAAATTATTATTTTCCCATTTTCCTTCTCCCTCTCAAATGCAATCCCTACCCTCTATCCCAGATATTACTTGTGAATATGCCAAATCTTTCTTACTACTCCACTTTGACTGGTGTGGCAACATGTGTGTATGAACTTGAGGTATGTGTCCGCTGCTTCACTAGGTGGCTGACTAGGAGATACATGCATTCTGAGGGATCAGTGATAAGCTAGATACACATTTTCTGCTGGACATCTTGTTGCTGCCATCATCTTGGCAGCTGAGCAAATCAAACAGTACATGATGCTTCTCAGCTGCTGATGGGCCAAACAAATGGTTTTTCAAGTTACAAGAGACCCACAGCCCACCTGTTGTGAAGGCCTGCTATAAAGGTTGAACATTTCAGCAGGGAAAAGTAGTCAGGAGCTGGAAACAAAGCTGTCAGAAGTCTGGAAGGCAAAGAGATTTTTTTTTTTCCTAGATATATTGAATAACTGCCCAAGGAAACATCTGCTGTTCAGTTAGGCTGTTTATGGAAACAAACAACTAACTATTCTAGATCCACAGAAATGTAAAAAGATTCAACAACACAGCAGTGACAAATCAGTGGATTTTTTTTTGAAAAGAACTTTTCTGTGAAAGACATTCTTGGTCTTCAGACCTTTGAGGCTGCTATTTAATTAGGCCACATTTTAAAAATTTATCTAATAATTTTCATTTATTTCTATTAAGGAAAACTCAAAGAAAGGGGTATTTTTCAGCCTAGAATTAAACAGCAAGGTTTGTCTATATTTATGAAATATCACCATCATGCGAGAATGTATCAGCAAGTTGACAGAGAGATCTGCTTTTTTAAGTCAGGTTTCTTCCTTCACATTTTTGTTCTTAAGATTTCTGAAGTTCAGTAAGACAACCACTTTCAGTATCTCTATAGCTTTGCTTATGACTGCATTCACACAAGAGAAATTTTATAGCACTTCTAGGTAAGAGTAGTGAGCTGAGCTATCAAAGAAGTGTGAAAAAGACAACAGAATGGAGCAAAACTGTCACAGTGACCTACTAGGAAGGGATGTCTGCTGTCTTTTTATTGATCTTTCTCTGCATGCCAGAGTTTGTCAAACAAATTGATGTACTGGTTAAAATGTATGCATGTGCAATATTTAATTTTAGAAGCTGAAAGATAGAGTGCTTTCTGCAGTGCTCTTCTCTTTTGTCTTATGCTCACAAAGAGATATTTTCAGATCTAGTGGGGTGGGAGCTGTTAGAAATTCACTGAATATCCCTCAGAGACATTTAATGGAGCTGCTTTACTAAATCTACTAGATTAGCCCACCCTATTCTATTTTATTTTTGCTCAGTCTTCCTAAAATATTTGTTTGTTAAACATTGTTCCTGCATGCAGCCATGCACACTTAAAATGCTTCATTTTACATCTGATTAGTGCCTTAAACTTTAGTAGCATTTGACTGCAGAGTGTAGCT